CCAACAGCCGCAGGCGAATCCCCTTCACCTCCACGTCCGCAGCAGGCGAAGATAGGGGGAGGCGAAATTTCGAGCTCGCCCTCAACGCGTGACCTAGCCTACAGTAGACCTAGCCTACAGCACTTTGCGAAATCGTCTGCACGTTGTCGATCTCGCCTGTACGTGAGATCTCGAACTCGCCATCATCCCCTTCGAATTCCGCCTGCAAGATCCCGCCTGGATCTCGCGTCGACTTCGAACTCACCAGCAGAACATCGCCCTCGCCTGTTCGACTCGCCTAAAGCTCGCCTTGATTTCGCCGCTGACATGCTATGAAGCACGGACACGCATAACATGAAGCTGTGTCGTGTCCGTATCGGACACACGTGTCGAACACACGTATCCTATGTATTTTTTAGGATTTGCCTCATGTCGACGTGTCGGATGGCCGTGTCGAATCCGTGTCCGTGCTACATAGCTGACAGGTATAGATCTACACCTATTTCCAACAATCTCCCACTTGGAGATCAAACCGTCGTCAGCAAGCTCTTTTTATAAGCATCTTCTCCTGTGTGTCTTCGCCTTCATCTCTCATATAAGAAGACCAACTGAAGTTGCGCACAACTCCAGTTTCTGAATGGTGACTGCCTTAGTCAGCATATCTGCAGGATTTTGGCTCCCTAAAATCTTTTCCAACTGTAACTTCTCGTCCTCAATCATCGAGCGTATGAAGTGGTAACATAACTCGATGTACTTCGTTCTGGTATGAAACACTGGGTTCTTGGCAAGGTGTATAGCACTCTGGCTATCACAATAAAGGACTTCGTTCCCCCGCTTCAGACCCAACTCATCCAGGCACTCTGTTAACCAAATCATCTCCTTGCTCGCCTCAGTCACTACGACATACTCTGCCTCAGTTGTGAACAATATCACAATCTTCTGCAAACGTGAGACTCAGCTCACTGCTGTCGACCCTAAAGTATAAACATACATCGTGGTGCTTCGTCTCGTATCATGATCACCGGCAAAATCTGCATCCACGTATCCCTGCAGTACCAACTCTTTTCTCCCGAAACATAGTGGCATATTCGTAGTCCCTCTCAGATATCGTAATATCCACTTCACAGCCTCCCAATGCTGATTTCCTGGGTTACTTGCAAACCTGCTCACAACTCCCACTGCATGGGCAATATCCGACCTCGTGCAAACCATTACGTACATCAGACTACCAATGGCTGATGAATACAACACCTTCCTCATGTGCTCCTTCTCTGCATCAGTCTTGGGTGATTGTTCACCAGACAACTTGAACTGGCTTCCAAGGGGCGTGCTAACGACCTTAACATTCTGCATGTTGAATCTCTAAAGTACTTTCTCAATGTATTCAGACTGACTCAACTCTAGCGTTCCCTCAGACACATCTCGGCTGATCCGCATCCCAAGAATCTGCTTCGCTGCACCCAGATCCTTCATGGCAAACTCATTTGCTAACTGTTTCTTCAGCTTGTTTATCTCCTGTAAACACGGTTCTACAACTAACATGTCATCAACATACAGCAACAACACGATATAGCTGGACTCGAACCTCTTGAAGTAACAGCAATGATCTGAATTACATCTGCCATAACCATTGCTCTGCATGAAGTTATCAAACTTCTTATACCACTACCGTGGGGCCTGTTTCAATCCGTATAAGCTCTTGTTGAGCCTACACACCATCTCTTCTTTTTCTTTCTCAATGAAACCAACAGGTTGCTTCATATAGATTTCTTCATCCAAATCGTCA